GAGAGAGAGAGAGAGAGAGAGAGAGAGAGAGAGAGAGAGAGAGAGAGAGAGATGAGAAGAGGCAACAGAGAGCAAGGAGAATAAACTTCATTATGTATATGCAGGAAACTGTCAAATAAAAAATAGAGCTCAGTGGACAAGTACTTGCCTATCACGATACCCAGAACCACAAGTAATAGCAGCAACAATTAAAAAAAACTCATTCTCTATTTTAATGGGTATTACCAAATTGTCCTTCTTAGGAAAGGTAGTAATTCATAGCATCATTTCCATTTTCCTGTAACAGGGTCAAACCTACATAGCACATCCCAGTAAAACAGTTGGGGCTCCAGCTTCCTAGATGCCCATCAACTGATAAATGAATAATGAAAATGTGGTACATTTATACAATGGAATATGATTCAGCTGCAAGGAAAGATACAGTTGTGATATTTGCAGCTAAATGGATGGAGTTAGAGACACTCATCCTTCGAGAGGTACCTCAGACCCAGAAAGACAAACATAGTAGGTTTTCTCCTATATGTAGATGCTAGCTCTTATGCTTTAGATATGTTTTATTTATAATATCCACAGAGGTTAGGTAGCTAGTAAGAGTACACCAATATATCAATTGAGATATGTATAGGTTAAAAAAAAAGCATCGGGACTTTTAATTTTATTCTTTCTTTCTTAAAATAGAATTCATACTCCACTCGTTACCATTTCATTTCCTTCGGTGATGTTCACAAGTAGTCTTCATGTGTGCAGCGTATGGACTTCAAAGATTTTTCTGTCCCTTCTTGCTCTCTCAGTCCATCACAGTAAGGTGGACACTGATCTCTCTTGTGTGACCTTTGCTCTTGGGGAGGATTGGCTTATCACTACTATCAGTGCAGATTTTCTCATTTGCAGGTTACAGTTGTTTTCCTTTTCTGTGATGGTTATGTATCTTTCCTCTATGCTATAAAATCTTACTTTCATGGTCTTTGCTTCTTATATCAAATATATTCTGTATAGTTTTAGGCACATTCAATCTTTATTTTAAAGTTTTAGGTTCATAGAATTATTTATTGTGAGTTTCATCTGTTTGGTAAAAATACATTTTCTATGTTTTTTTCTCATCTATTCTCTGTTTTTACCTTGAAGTACCTCTATAGAAAAAATGATGCTGCCCTTTTATGAGAAATTTATTTATTGGGGATTCCATAGTTGGGTGTTATAAACAGAGATGGGAAGCTCAAGGAGATTATTCAGGAGATTGTATTGATTTGAAATAAAGTTATCACAGAACTCTCTGTGTCTGTCTCTCTCTGTCTCCATGTCTCTGCTTCATTCTGTTTCTCTGTCTCCTCTCCCCTCTTTTCTCCCACT